ATATTTAAAGGTTACTTAAGTATGCAAAGAAGCGAAAGAACCAAGAAGTAACAGAGAAAAAAAGAAGCAAAACAAATGAACAAGTTAAAATACTAGGCAAGAAGTTAGGTGCAAGACTGCCAAAATTACAAAGACAATGGTCTGATGCATAGATAAAAGATATAAAAGAATGACAAAAACTTCTACAAAAAAAAAAGAGAAAGAAATAGAAACAAGTGCAAAGAAGACAAATAGAAGAAAACATAGATAAGAGATGTAAAATGATTAAAACAGATCAAGGGAAAATGATAGCCAGTCTTCTAAATAGACCATACAAAAAGATAATATTGGACAGACTCATTAAACAAGTAGGAGAAGAGACACATTTAATAACGAAACCAGAAGAGGTTAAGGTGGATGTAGCAAAACATTACAAGATACAGTTTAGGAAAAGAAACTCTAAATTAAAAATAATAACAGAGAAGTGGAAGGAAATGTACAAACCAAGAGAAAACATTAAAGAGAACTGGTATGCAGAAGTTAAAGGAAGAATCAAAGAGAAAGAATAAAAGGAGGTACTAAGAGAATTAAAGACAGAAACAGCTCCAGATATCTTAAGTATAAGCTATATATTGATTAAAAGAGCAGAGAAGAAGATGCAAGAAGTGTTTAGATGCTTTGCAGACTTATACTTAGAAAAGGGAAAAATTACAATAAAGTGGAAAATAGTGCAGATTTACTCAATACCAAAAGACGTAGAGTGGAGATATAGTTTAAATAATATTTGTCCAATAGCACTAATTGAAATATTTAGAAAAGTCGTAACAAAAATAGTAACGAAAAGGCTTGCCAGGGTATTTATGAAAAAAGAAATACTCAGAGGACCAAACTTCACAGGCCTTCCAGATAACTCAACAGAGCAACCAGTACAGATTTTAAATATGATAATGGAGAAGGCAAAAGAAAAAGACAAAAAAATATGAATATTGTTGCAAGATATGAAAAAGGCATTTAATTTAGTTTCTCTCAAAAGTCTTGAATTAGCGTTGTAAAGAGTCAAAATACCCAAAAGAACAATTAAATATATATTAAACCTTTTTCACAAGAAACAATTAAAGATAATTACAGGCTATGGTCTAACAGAAGAAATAATAGCAAGTGATGGAATAGACCAAGGTGAAGTAATTTCACTATTATTATAGTGTCTCTTTTATGATCCACTAATAGAAAGAATTCAAGAAGATAAAAGCTTAGGGTATATAGTCAAGCAGCAAGATTAAAGAGATATGCAATGCAACAATATTATGAGTTACCGTCAAGTAGCAATTGCATACACAGATGATACAACATAGATTGTAAGTAGCAAAAGACAATTATTAAAAATCTTAGAAATAGCTAAAGAGTTCTTTGAAATGAATGATATAAAGATAAATAGGTCAAAGTCAAAGCTAATAGTAATGAATACAAAAATCAAGAAAAAAGAAAAAGCAGTGATATATGGGAAAAGCAAGATAGTAAAAGAATCAAGACATGTAATAGTTTGCTCATTAGGAATATAGTTAAACAATAAAATGCGAGAAATACAATTAAAGAAGACAAAAGAAATAATAAGCCAAACTATAAGAGATCTAAAACATAAAAAAATGATGATGAGTCAGATTGTATATATAAACAATATGGTAATAATACCTAAACTAAGCTACATGCTACAACTAACAAAGATATCAGACAGGAGTCTAAATGAAATATATTAACTAATAATAAGTCTGGCAAAACAAAAAAGCAATCTGCAAAGAACAGTAGAAAATTGCATAATGAAACACAAAGATCTTGACAATTATAGAACTTTACAACAAGAATTAACTATGAAGTAATTGGATGGTCTTATAGCAAGACTTAACAGACAAGACAGTTTTAGACAATTTATGAAATTAAAAATAATACAAAGCTGTCAAAGAACAGATTTAACAAAAAACATATGGAAGACAAAAGAGATATTAATCATTGAAGTATATCTGAAGAACAACTTAGCATGTCTTACAATACTCAAAGCACAGAAATTGAAGATAAATATAAGAACAGAAAGTAAACTATAGACAATGTTTAGTTATAGTACCAAAATACAAGAGATTGTAAATGCACATCTGTGGAAGAAAGGAGCAGTTAGAGTAAATGAGACAGGTCTAATATATCTAAACCAGCTACTTAATACAAGAAGTGAAAAGCTAATCATATAACAACAACTTAAAAGCTTTCAAGGCCAATCGAATAAAGGAAAAAAAGCAGAATGATTTAAGGCAATTGAAGCAAAGGTGCTTAGCAGTCCAGCAAGTAGAGAGGTACAAAAGCACTTTAAAATGAGTAGACAAAATACTCAGACAATGCAAGTCAAATAGAGACATATGTCAAAAGATAAAGGAAGAAAAGAATGAATAGTATATAGCATATCAAATCATAGATAGTTAGAAAAGGTGATTAGAAAGAAAAAAAAAATGTATTAATTAAACACTGGCAAATGCAGAGCAAAGAAGAGGATTTAGCAACTGAGATCAATAGATATGAAGAGTGTACAAGAAAGGAAAAACAAATAGAGAATAATTGCCAACAATGGATAAGAGTAAACAGAAACATTAACACGATTTCAGACATATTAATAAAGAAAGGTAGCAACCAAATTAAGATACCAATAGACCAAATAACAAACAAGGCAGAAACAGACAGGTTAAAGATCAAGGAGCAGAAACTTAAAAGTTTTAGAATAATAGAAGAGCTAAAAATAGAGATTATTAAACAATAGAAATTTGAAGAAAATACTAGCCAAGAAATAATAGAAGTTTTAAGAAGAAATATTATAAGAAATAAGAACAAGTATATAATATACACAGATGAGATAGTGAATATGAAAGCCAATAAAGAATTAGTATCAAAAACTAATATGAATATAGGATGGATTCAAATGGATAAAATGCAAAAATAGTCAGAAGAAGAGATGGCATTTGGACTAGAAGGATGGCAAACATCGACAATAGCAGAATTGGTGGCGATTTGGACAACAATCCTAACAATATCAAAAAAAAAAACAAATAGAATTATATACAGATAGTAATGCTGCTATAAGAAACATTAGTAAAAGTTTAGAGCAACCAGACAGAAACAAGATTATTAAAAAGAAGAATGTGATATGGATAATGAAGATTAAAGACCTTATCAAGACAAAAAATATTTAGATAAAGTTAGTTAAAATGAAAAGTCATAACAAAGATAAGTAAAATAATAAAGCTGATAACTTAGCAAAGAAGAAGACAATGAGCAAAAGAATAATACAAGTCGAAAAAGTCAGTTGTAAAGAGATAGAGTACTGGCTAGAATAGGAAAACATATGAACTGACATACTAGCAAGACTGCTTTGCAAGTTAGTAACAAATACAAGAATAGGAGCAGAATGAAAAAAAACAAGAGCAATTAAAGAGTTAGAACCAAAAGTAGAAATTATTATATATGATTAAATGTATTTTTAGAAAAAGCTAAGAATAACTAAAAGAATATACTGCATAACAAGAAGAAGCAACTCTAAAAGAAGTGCATTTATCAAGTGTATAATGGATAAACTTCTGATCTTGGAAGAACTCAACAGAAGAAGACCAGATATATATACAACAGTAGAATGCCAAGTATGCCAAGATAAAGTAAAAGAAATATAAGCATATTTGGCAGCATATAAGGAACAAAGAAGTCTCTGAAAGAGAATCCAAAAAGTGACTATCACAACAACATGAAAGAAATTAAAAGAAAAAAAAAATCAGGATTCCTCTATATGTGTTATATACAACACTCTTCAGTAAAACAGAGAAAGAGAAGGTTAAAATGAGAGAAACATTAATTAGAAGCCTAATTCTAAAAGAAATATAAGACAGATTAATACAACTCTTAAATACAAAATCAAGACAGCAGTTTGTAAATGTAGTAGCAGTAATGGTCTGAGATATATTTTATGAACAAGTATGAAAAATACAATGTGAAAAAATTAATGAATAGGAGAAAAAAGTTGAGATAACAGTTAAAACTAAAAGAAAAAAAAGAAAAAAAACTAAAGGAACTTCGTAAAAAAGAAAAAATAAATCAGCAAAGAATAGAAGAAAAGAAAGAAAGACTAAAAGAAAAAGAAAAACAAGTTGAAAAAAAAGTAACAAAAACAATATTGAGACTTGTCATGAAAGAGAGAAGACCCTTTCATTATGGACTTTAAGTAGTCAGACAAGCAGCTTACTTCTGTTTGAAGTAATGTGACAAGTTGCACTTAGGTACCATTAAGGTGGCCGGGTGATGCTAGACTTAGGTATTAGGGATATTTATGTAGTTGCAAATGTAATTTCAAAATCTTAATAAAGTACTAGCGTGACTGCTTAAAAAAAAAAAAAAAAAAAAAAAAAAATATCGATTTGATTTGGCAAAAAAATTATCGCTATAGTAAAAAATATTGATTTACCAAGATTGCCAATCATAATGCACGATTTGGTGTAAGTGATGTAACTTTTCGGACAAACATGTTTTTAGTTTGTTGATTGTCTACAGTTCAGGTTGGCCGAATTTGTATTGTCCGGCCAAAATTATACGCTTAATTTTGCCCGAATTGGTATTGTTACACCGAATTAAAAATTAGATTTACATAAATCGATATCCCTGACCTAGTATATCCAGAAATTCTAGAATTATATAAATAAAAATAACGCCAAATCGCTAGTCACACATCCCAGTATTTTGAAAAATATATTATTGTGTAATGCTATTGTGGATCAATTATCAATATATATAGGTGCCCTATCCCATACCAAAATCTCCACAAAATTGACCTCGTGTATCACGTATTTTTTATATTGTAATTCAAATCAGTCGTCCCCTGAGTTGGATTGGATCTCTAAAAATGGCGACGAGGCAAGCTATCCAGAACTCTTACTTTAAAACACCGGTAATTTTTTAATATTGACATGACTAAACTTCGAATTTAAGATTGGACCGTTTAGTCCTACTCTTGGACACCGGTTCCACACCTGCAGTTCGAGCAACTGCTGCGCAGCAATTAGGAGAAATTCAAAAGCAACACCCTGGAGAACTGCATAACTTGTTATCAAGGGTATTGTGAAATCTTTTTACCTTAAAATAGATGCCTTTAATAATTTCTTTCAAATTTTGTCGTACGATTAATTTGAGAGATCTTTGCTCATGCGCAAATCAGGTTGTCATTCACTTAAGCAATAAAGAATGGGATGCTCGGATTGCTGCGGGACAAGCAATTGAAGCTATTGCAAAAAATGTGCCACAGTGGGATCCTCCAGAGAGTATGCAGAATTATGATCTGCTTTTTTTTTAAATTCTTTTCATTAGTTGATTAATTCATATATTTTTCTTTATATTGCAGCTGTTAAAATTGAAACCGAAATATCTTTTAAAAATGAGTCAAGTGATAATAAATATTCCTTTGAGAATTTTGACATTTCGAATGTATTACAAAATGGAAAAACATTATTAGGCTCGGCCGGAAAAGTACGTGTCAATTATCCTAAAAATGATAATTGCGTGGTCTTTGTGGTTTTCATGATATTTAGTTGTCTCAGAAATCCTAATTGTCGCTTTGTAAATTAATTTTTGTGCTTTAGGAATATGATCTTGATTTGAGCGATCTTGATCCTGCTCAAAGGCTCGCATTACAACATAAAAATCTCAGAGAAAGATTAGGATTGGGTGGAGAATTTATGGATGGTAAGTGAGAGGACTTTAGAAATGAAAAGAAATTTTGTGTTATCATATATCGATAAGGAAATTTTCTTGCAGTCGATTTATTGGATGATGTTGACATAAGTGGGACGACTACATCACAAAATACACAAGTCCATAAGGTTGAGTCTGCTTCTATACAACCACCACGTTCTCCAATTTTGCCCCCAGAAGACATGGCTGGCCTTAGCGCCAGAGAAAGAAATAAACTGAAGAGAAAAGCAAAAAATGATGCAAAAATTAAGGGGAAAGAAAAGTATGCGGAATATTTTACCATATTGTGCATTTGTTAGATAGCATTTTGTATTTATTGACTTATTGGTGTAGATTACGGGTTGTAGAAATTGGTACGCGAAGAACAAGCGGTGATTATGTAGCACCGCTAGCAACTCCACTTACACCAACAACTGTTAAAGTCGAACCTGATGGTCAGTGTAAATATATTTTATAGTTTACTCGTTCGACAAGAGTGAATTAAGTTTTTATTTAACATTTAATCAGGATCAGGATCATCAGAGCAAACACAAGCAGAGGGATGTTTCAATTTTACGCCACAACCTTGTTCGAGTAAAATTGTTGTAGAATCTAAAAAAGAAGGATCGTCAAATGTAACGGATGATCAGTCTAATGAATGGCCATTTGAAAATGTGTGCGAATCTCTATGTGTAGCTTTGTTTAAGTGAGTTCTCTTGTTCATTATATATATATTTATATTTTTTGATAAAATGTTCACATTGAATCCTTTCAAGTCCATGCTGGGAAGTAAGACATGGTGCTTGCATTGGTTTAAGGGAAATTCTTAAAGTACACGGTCATGGGGCTGGACGTCGCGGTGAGTATCACATAATCATAATTGTTTTATTAAACTGATATTGAATAAGTTATATTATATTATTTTAACAGTTGGGTTAACTAAAACGGAAAATGAATTCAGACATAATAAATGGTTGGAGGATGTAGCAATTCGTTTGTTATGTGTTTTTGCACTGGACCGATTTGGAGATTTTGTATCAGATCAGGTATAGTTATATTATTATGTTAATTTTTCTTTTATGTATATTAGCAAACAATTATTAACATTTTAATAACTGTCTTAAAGGTTGTCGCGCCTGTAAGAGAGACTTGCTCACAAACAATGGGTGCACTTCTACGCTATATGTCACCACAAGGAGTGGAAAACGTTCACAGAGTTTTATTGCAGATGATTTATCAAACAGACGTGCAAGGAGATAAACCATCAATATGGGAAGTCAGACACGCTGGGATGTTAGGCTTGAAGTATGCAGTTGCTGTCCGCAAGGATTTAGTGAATACAATATTGGATGGAACTGTGGGTGCGGTGATTTTAGGGTATGTTTCTACTCTTTTTAATTATCATGTATCACATTATTTACGAGCCGCTCTTTACATTTTGGCACAATAAGATTAAAAGATAGTGATGATGATGTGAGAGCTGTTGCTGCATCTATTCTAATTCCGATCGCAGAACATTTTGTTACACTTTCTGCACACAAAATACCGGAAATTGTTACGGTGTTATGGGATTGTTTAAAGGATTTGAAGGATGACTTGACAGCATCTACAGCTAGTGTAATGGATTTTTTGGGTAAATTTTTTAAATAAAACATTGTCTTGCTTGAATGTGTTATCCATAATTTAACTGACATGTTTGCATTTTTTATTTTTATTTAAAAAATGGTTTTAGCTCGATTATTTTCCTTCCCGAAAGTATTAGAATATATGCGAACAGCTGCTATTTCTGATCCGAGGTAATTCCAAAACAATTAAATTTCAATTATTAATTTATTTGTGTTTTAACGAGGTTCTACGGTTTTGCAGCCATTCTTTGACAACATTAATACCTCGATTATACCCATTCTTTCGTCACACTATTACGTCCGTTCGTTCTGCGGTCCTAAATACATTATTGACATTTCTTGGTATGGCCGATGTTGAAGAATGGGTAGATCACCGCGCTTTCAGACTTGTCTTTCAAAACATGATCGTCGAGGAGAAAAAAGTACATACTATTTCTTTATTTTGATCTATAGAGTTAAGGAAAAAATTAATTCCACCTTCAAAAACATTTATAATTTCAGGATGTTCTCGACTTATCCCTTCAAGTCTGGTCTGCTTTAGTGTCTCATGTATCAAAGTCCGGCCAAGAAAATAAAATCATCACTTTTACGGCTCAATATATCAGAACATGGTTTATGATAATTATGACCCCGTTAGGCACTCCAATTGATCGACGATTATTTTTTGTGCCAGATGGTCCAGTTCCGATGGAAATATCTACCAATCTGCGACGTCGATCACAGGAGCGTATCCAGACAAACGACGGTGATGATGTCATGGCTGGTCACAATATTGATACTGGGATGCTGCAGCAAGATTTTGCATTGGTCAGTGTGGACACTGTACTAAGAGGCAGAGTCACTGCTTCTAAAGGCCTGGGTATGTTAATGAGTCATTGGCCTAATGAGGTAGAAAGATAATAATTTTGGCTCAATAAATAGTATTCAATTTAACCGTGTTCGTTTTATTAAATCATCTTCAACATTAATAAATTTTAGTCTTTGGAAGCATCGTTTGAAGAGATTATTATATCTTGCTTGTCTTCTACGTGGGCATCAAATAAACAACTTGCTGCTGTCATTATAGAAGAATGGGCACGTTCAATTGTGGAGAACGAAGGTTATGATATTCAGACATCATTGTTGAGCGTATCACCATTAGCAGTTAAACTTTCAAACCATATGATCTCAATGCTGGAATCCGAACCGCCGAAATTTTATTCGGAACTTATATCTATTCTTCGTCGCATTCGTGGTGAATGTCAAGCATTGCTCAATACATTTGTTTCAGTGGGAAAAATTGATTCTGCAGTTATACCTACTTTACCTTCGCATGTTCTTGGTGAAGTCATTCAATCAGATGTTTCGTTTCCATTGTTCAGTATTGAAATAGCAGTGGAGCTTTCGGCGGCTACTTTTAATAATTTATTAGCTCAAGTCACTGGGATAGATGGAAAATCCACACAAGCTCGAAGTGATGAAAGACAATCGTTAAATGATCGTAAACGGCGAGTAATGTCATCAATAGGTTACTATGAGTCTACTAAGCATAAAAATGACGTCGTCGTTTTCGCAGCAATTGCAGGCGCTGTAGTTGCACTGCGAGCATTACCTCCTAAGCTTAATCCTGTTGTCAGATCTATTATGAATTCCATAAAAACTGAAGAAAACCTAGGATTACAACAACGCTCGGCAGCTACACTGGCGAGCCTCGTTGAACTTTGTGCCTCTGAGGATGGCTCAACGCGAGTAAATCCTAACGACAAAATCGTGAAAAATCTATGTACATTTCTTTGTTCTGATCCAACTACAACACCTGAGCTGCAAGCTAATCGTGCAAAGGAGGGTATATTGTCTTTACAGAAAGCTAAAGAACCTGATAAAGGTTCATCTAATAATGATTCCCAAAATGAAGATGAAGAGTTAAAATCACAAAAGTTAATACGTCGTGGTGCTGAAACAGCACTTAGGCAATTTTCTATACAATTTGGGCCAAAATTATTTGATATTGTTCCAAGGTTATGGACGTGTGTGCATTCTTCTTTGAGCACAATATTCGCTCATGGTGTGTAATGATTAGTTTTATGCTTTAATAACAAACGTCGATAAATGCTAATAGCTTTTTTATTCGGTGCTTAACATCGTTTAGATGACAAAGAAAAGACATCAGTTTTTAAAACAAATATAAATTTGGGACAGGACGTCATTGACTCTTTGCAAATATTACAGACATTAGTTCCTGTCTTTCATGAATCTCTTCAATTAAAGGTGCATTATATTTATATACAGTTTACTAGAGTTGGGTGCCGAAACCCTAAACTGCAGGTTTGGGTTAGAGTTTAGGATATAGTTTAGGGTTTAGGGCTCTAACCTAAACCTGTAGTTTAGGGTTTCGGCACCCAACTCTACAGTTTACTTTGAAAATTATAGCACATTAAAAAAGCAATTATATTTAAACAGGTTACGGAATTGTTGCCTTGTATTGTGAAAGCTATTCAATGCCAATATTCAGTAATTCGGTCCATGGCTGCCCGTTGCTTTGCCACGATTGCTAACGTTATCACAATCCAAAGTATGCAGATTATAATAGACCACATAATACCATTGTTGGGGGATTCACAAAATGTGATACGTCGTCAAGGAGCTGCTGAGCTAATATATCGTATCCTTTACAACATGGTCGGAGCTCTAATGTTTAAATGTTTATATTCTTAACCTTTTATTTGGTGAATTTAGATGTAGTGCAGACTATGGACGCGAAGATTCTTCCTTATGTCATTTTTTTGATTGTACCGATTTTGGGTCGAATGAGTGATGTGGATGAAAATGTTCGATTAGTGAGCACCAATTGTTTTGCTATGCTAATAAAGTTGGTGCCGTTAGAGGTAATTTTAACTACAATTAATATACTAGTAAGAATTATTTTTCACTAATGTTCCAATTGGTTCTCGTTTTTTTAGGCCGGAATACCTGATCCACCTGGTCTATCCACAAAATTGTTGATACACCGAGATGAAGAACGTAAATTTCTTGCACAACTACTCGACAGCAGAAAGTTAGATCCATATGAGATTCCTGTTACAATTAAAGCTGAACTAAGAAAATATCAGCAGGAAGGTGTAAATTGGCTTGCATTTTTAAATAGGTATCAATTACACGGAATATTATGTGACGGTAAAAACATTTTATCGAATTTGTTTAAAAATATTTGTTACATATATTATATCAATGACTATCAATATCTTTTAGATATGGGACTTGGAAAAACACTTCAATCTATCTGCATCCTTGCCAGTGATCACCACATGCGTGCAACTAAAAATACTGAAACAAAATCACCAGACAGTGTACATTGTCCGTCATTAGTTGTCTGCCCACCTACATTAACAGGACATTGGTATCATGAAATATTAAATTATACTGACACATTAAAGCCTC